AAAATCAGTTCAGCTATGTTTATTAGCTACAACCTCTAGCAAGAATCTTCCTAGACTCAAACCCCAGCTCCCAAGCCAGCCAGTCACAACACTGTGAATTTCTCAGGGAGGTGCCAGCCTCATCCTCTTGTAGTTCCCACGCTCTCTCGGTGAGCTAAGAAAACGCTTATCTCCCTGAGCCTGGCCTTCATAATTCCATTCCATCACAGTTCCACCCTAAAAACTTAGTTGTTAACATTTTTTTCTCAAACTGCAAGATCTGTTGCAACTTTCCCATTCCCCTTTTCAAAAAGAAGTTAAGTCTGTGGACTAGACATGGGCTGCATCACAAAGTCTCACACATGGCTTTGGTGCACAAAGGCAGAACTTAAAATTTCCTCTTTGACTACAGTCTCTTCAAGTAATTCCTAGCCTTTTGAGAGAGGAGGAGAGAAGCATTCAGAAATCCTAGAATATTGGATTCATATCACTAGCTATGATAGTGAGGTTTTGGGGTGAGCAGCCTAGTTTCAGCCTTACCCAAGTCTTTTTTCCATTTCATTTATGTACAATTCTTTTTCATTTAATAACTTTTTCAGAGTTTCCACCTCTTTTTGTTTTTCATTAAGTTCCTTTTGAAGCCGGTAGTTTGTTTCCTCCAGAGTCTCACAAAAAGCCTAGAAGGAAATTTAAATTTTTGAAAGCAGTTTTTTTTTGGGGGGGGGGGTAAAAAGCAACAAACATTGGCTTGATTATCTTCTTCTATGTAGGGTTCTGCATTATTTTTACATGTACACAAATCAAGTCACCTGGATTTGGTTTCCTTTTACTGAAAATAATTATTCTGATGTGGTAATAATGTGATCAAGCTATCACTCCCTAATTATCTGACAAATATGTAATGGAAATGCAACACCCTCCAAGTTTTCTTTTGGCCCTTGATTACGTAAATAACATTGCAGAATTCTGAATCTCAAGCTTCCATTACAGCAAAAAGATATAATCCTATAGCACTGACTACCAAGCCTTATATGTACTAATATAGTTCATGATTTAAATGGGATCCCAATTAAATTTGATGAAATACTTCCCTATACAATACAATACAGCATGCCATATCTTCAATGATCTACTGATATTCCTGTAAATTTAGCTACAAAACCAGTAACCTGCAAAATTAATTATTTTTCTTCTTGGGTAAACTTTTGATCAGTTAATTTCATCAAAAAGAATGACAAGACTGTGAAACTGCATCAAAGTACTCTATTTTTAAGATAAAAATAAAAACTGAGATTGGTTATACATTACTTGAAGTAAATAACCCTAGCATATATAGAGACTGTTCAGATTTTGAAAGGCTAATTATGGGATCCTGTTTTATGTGTGCAGCTTAACCACAAGATCAGAATGCAAGCAACTCAAGAGCACACTCAAACACCTGTAACATGAATTTAAGCCCACTACAGCATCAGCAGGTCATAGCACCTAGCTGATCTTGTCTTGGCTCAGCTCTAATTAGGGTAGGTCTGATTAGTCCTTGGATGAAAAACCACCAGAGTTTATGAAGCAGGAGGTTAGACCTGGAAATTAAAGGGAAAAAAGTCTGCAAGATGACAACGGCAAACCATGTTGTTGAGAAAACTGCATAGATGTGTCTTTATGAAGTTAGACTTGAGAATGTCTTTTCGTTACATTTACACTCATCATTTTGTGAAGTCAATTATATAGCCAAGGCTAAGGTAATACTCTGAAATAATTTCTGTCAGGTTCCTGTTTGTCATCTGTATATGACAAATACAGTATTGTGGTTCTACATTTCCAGTGCATTTCCAGCTCTGAAGTGCAGCATTCTTCCCTTATTGCAAAGTATTATGTGTACCAAACTATTTGGTATACCAAATGATGAAGCACTGACCAATAACCAATTGTTCTCTTAAAAGCAAACCTGCAGTTAACAGTGAGAAGTTTACAGTTCATAATTTATCATCTACACAGTGCCAGAAAACTGTAAGTAATTTGGTAGGCTAGTGTAGATATATGCTCCCAGTTCTTCAAATTGCAAAACACTTCTGGCAATACTATTTATATGCTACAGTTAAAAATAATTGGAAGCTGGTATTGGATTTAAGCTAGGCTCAATCTTATTTAGAGTTGTCTGAGTGTCAACAACTTTATGTAAAGTTATTAATCTTTTAAGGCTGCTATTTAAGAGGCCAAATACATATTAATCGTTATAAATGTATAGTAGTGTAGAGAGTTCAAAACAATGGAGAAAATTTCTGTAATGTGTTAATATCAAGCACTAAGCTGCTTCATTTATATTTGCTGGAAATGGTCCCAAAATATAAATTATTCTATATCCTTTTTGCTTAATGGCAGCCATTTTATGAATTCTCACAATACTATTTGTACCATGTTGAAAAATTGTGAATCCAATATATTCACAAAAATATGACCAGTTTGTTTTCCTTATTATAATAACAGTACAGTAATTCAAATAAGAAATTATTGATAAAGCAAATATATCAACTCCCTGAGATTGATTTTTACAATATTTCATACATGGCTTTGTATTCTAGAATATACACAGAACAGGAGAACACATGATATTTAACATTTATACAGAGAGAAAGAATGAAAAAAATTAAATTGTACATAACTGAAATGGTCTTAAAAGCCTGTAAACACACACACAAATAAATCACGTTTCTGTGGAGTTAATTCTTATGTTTCTCAATTCTTTCCCCACTCTCCTGTTCTTTTCACTTGGTAATAGCTGCCCTTTTGCTGGATCCATTTTCTTGCATTTTTGTTCTCTTTTCTGCTAATGTACAGTCAGCCCATAGATGATTCATTTCATGTCTTTTGCTGTATGATGATCATGTTTAATATACGTATAGTCATGATAAGGGACAAACAGTTGTCGCTGTTCAGTTATGACAAAACCTAGGTGCCTGTGCAATTACAATGTTCTCTTCTAAAAACAAATTCCTACATTATACTTACCCTGCTCTCTTCAAGGCTATCAAAAGGTCCTGGCGGGTCATCCAAACAAAGAAACTCTCTTACTGCAAGGCTTTGAAAAGAATGGAGAATAAGAGCAATTGACAACTAAAATACAGGACAATATGGAATTCATAGTGGGAATATGCCAAATGTTGTAAAGTAATGCTTCCCTGAATAGAAGCTAGCAGAATTATTAAAATTTATACACACACACGTACACACACTATTAGGCACAAAAGTCTGCATGCAATTTTGTCTCTAGCAAGTATACATGTTATTAAAAAGAGTGAAATGGTTTGAAAAGGCAGTTTAAGAAAAAAATGAATAGTTCAATTATACATCATTTTCCTGATGTCAAACATTTATGTGCATCTGGAATTTAAACTAATCAATGCCATTTAAGGTATTGGTATGCTATAAATGGCTTACTTGATACACCAGACTTTTTCTTCCTGCCTTTTTCTTCAAACTACACACTATGTTACCCAGCAAAGTTCTATCGAAGTTATCGGTAGTTATAGTTAGGTCTGAGTCCACATTTTTCCAACAAATTGTTACATAGCCCAATTTGTGGAATTATTTCTTTTAAGAAGGCTACCCTAAGATTCCAATCAAATCTGTAAATCACTGTGACTATAGCATGAAATGCTATCAAAATGGAAGAAAACTCACATTATAAGAAATTTGACTGAAATCATTCATTTCCATATATCTATTCCATATATCAACTTAAATCCTTTTAGAAATAAATTGTTGCTTGTGTTTTCTTAAAAACAAAATTGCTTTTTTTAAAAAAAATCACACTAATATTACTGTATATTAAAAGCTCCAAAGCTGCAAAGTGAAACCCTGAATATGGATTGTTGTCCCCACGACATTCCTACCATGGAATTACAAAAGTCCTTTATATTACCACACCAAAAGAAAATTAGAAAGTATTATCTAATTTGTAGGATCCTAGACTGTCAGTTTACAGTTAGTGAGACAGAGGGAGAGAGAAATTATGTAGCATTAAAAATCTACATACAAAAATGGAAACAATGCTCCTTTTCTTCATCTGATAAGTTTGGAATTTGGAAAAGATGACCTTTTCGAAGCATCATTATGTTACAGCGGATATTTTTATTCATGGCTGAACTGCTGTTTTGAAAAGAAGTGAGATAGGGCTGCAAATGGCCATCTCAAAATAGTTTATTTTATGAAAGTACCGGTGCTTGCTATTGTCCACTTTGCCCTGAACTTTACTTGCTCTGTAACACATTCAGAATGAACTGTCAAGTTAAAAGGACAACTCTAAAAATACAGAACTATAAAACTGTATATCAAGTAGCCAATACTGTAAAATATGACATGGAAGAATGATAATAAAGTGTAGACTTCCATGGACTTATGTAAACATATCAGTTGCCTTTATAAGAAGACAAGTAGCCTCACTTGTGATGTGGCTTATAGTTTGCATAACAGTAGTTATCCTATGTATCCAAGAAGCAAAGTTTTCACTAAGAAAAAAGCAATTTAAAATGTATAATTTGGTAAACTCTCTCACAACCACATTTGAAAATGAGCCACAGATGGCAGTATGCTTCCAGATGCTATATAAACTGGAAAAAAAAAAATCAAAGAGGACTTTTGTCTTCATGATTTACTTCAGAGAACCAACTAGCTCTTGTTGAAACAAGGTCTAATGTAGCAAGCTACTATAATTAAATCATATTTTGTGTAACCTAACCATATAGCAGAATGGGCTGGCATGCAACTTGTCTAAAATCTGGTTGAAAAATCAATTTAGGATTTCATTAGTAGGACTTCATGGAAGAAAACTTTAGTTTTAGGTTTTAAGGCACCCGAGAGCTATGAAAAACTATTGAGATCACAATCTAAGAAGCAATATGCCTTTAACTCTTCAATAATAAAATAGTAAGAACAACTTTGTTACTGCTTATGTCTCTTGTCCAAAAAGTTGCACAAGATACAGCAGTGTGTGCCTGTACCAACATCTTGCTCACTACCTATGCTGAAAACAGGAAAATCACTAAATCCCATTTTTAGAATTTCCTGCAGCATAAGATAGAACAATTAATGACTGCAGCCTGAGGAGGAAGAGGAGGAGAAAATACCAGTGTTAACTTTCTCCAGCTTTCATGATATTCAGCTATGGATATTCATACATGGACAATGATCTGAATGTGATTTAAGCCTATTCATGCCTTCCTTCCTAAGAAGTATTGTGTATGTACATGTCTATGATTTTAAATGTCTCTATGAAACAAATAACACTAATATAGGAAGAAGGATTACAGGCAATTTTAATAAATTCTTGTCCTTATGGTCTTTGTATCACAGTGAACTGAGGCTACAGTTCTGTACGCTTATCTGGGAACTGTCCCACTGAACATCATGGGATTTACTTCTATGAGGCTGAGCACTGGACTAGGAGTACGGTGGAAAGAGCTGATCAGGGCTGTAATAAATATATAGTAACATACAGCACGATGCCTTTAGTACAGCTTTCCTCAGCTTTCTTTTATAACAAAAGTCCAGATGTGAATAGAACTGAAAACAAAGTAGGTAATGGGAAATAAGTGCTTATTAACGCTTAGCAAAAAAATAAAAAACTCACTAATAAAATCCTACTTAACATTAGCGTCCAGAAATGTTGCTCATACCATACTAAAGAATCAGTATTTGTTACTAAATTTCATGTATGCCAGAGAAAACATATAAAGAGGAACATGCACTCATGAATAAGGATCAAGAGTTGGCTTAATACAGTTTGGAAACATAATAGTTAATCAACATTTGATTTACAACAATCATTTACTCTTCAGAAGTGAGAACCAAATTTTTAAAATATTACTCTTTTTCTCCAGATACTTGAGGTGTTATTAAAAGAAAAATCATATTCTCTACACACAAAACCAACCACTTCACTAAGTCATAATATGTCTAGTTTGGTTTCACTTTAGCACACTGTTTGAACCCAGCCACTGTGCCTTATTCAACAAGCCATTGTTAAGCAAACTAACATGCTCTGAACATGTCCTGAACATAACTAGCTAAAAATGAAACCTTGTTCTACTAAGCGTTCTGAAAGAGATCTGTGTGGCTGCAATATTAAAGACTGCAACGTCTGGGATAGACAACAAATATGCTCTACGATTACTCAAATCAATAAAAAGATCTCAAAAGTGCATATGCAGCAGAGTGACAGTTATCTACCAAGGGGTGTCTATTTCTGTCACTAGCGTTCGGCCTCTTATCCAGTCATTTACACATCCCTGCTTCTGTATTGAAATATTCAGCAAGAATAGCAAAGGTACAACTTTTCTCAACCAATTCTCAATCCTTGTATCTTATATCCATACCAGTCTAGCAAGATTATACCGCAACCACTATCCTGAACCTCTATTATTAACGAAGAATAAAGCCTCTGAAATCGAACCTTGCAGTGTCAGAATTAAAGCATAATGCACTGCCAAATTGCAAACTCCCTGAAATACATAGTTCAAGAATGAGAGGATACGTAGAAAACATAAATCTGGATCAATTGGTAGGTGTCTAGGCAATTTGCAATGCATTGGCAATAAACAATAAAATGATCCCTACTTACATATACATACAGGCTTTAATTAAATTAGATTCCTGAAAACCAAATAAAGCTTCAGGCAACAAGAAGTACATTCTGAGATAGAAGGACTGTGAATTATATTCAGTTTTGGTACCCACAACCAATTTTTAGGCTCCAAATTTTTTAATTCTATGTCTTTGGGGAAAGGCTTCAGTTGATGGATTTAGAGGACCATTTTTTTTTAAAAAAAAAATTCAACAGGCCTGAAGTCTGCCAAACATTTTTATAAGATACAAATAACAGTAAACAGAATTGTCTGACATAGATTGCCGAGGACCTGAATATTCGTACAAAAATATTATTTAGTGATCAAATCTTGGAAAATATATAAAATTAGAAACAGGGTGAATAGCATGTCTATTGTAGGTTGGGTAGAACAAACTACTAGAAAGAAATAATAGCTTTTTTTTTTACCCACACAGAGAGAATGGTGAAGGGATTCAATTCCTATTCTGTTACTTGAAGCTTTTGTTGTTTTCCAAAGCTTTTAGAACTGCTTCTGCAATTTCTGCTTCTGACTGGAGTTGCCCTATTTTAATTTAGAAAGTCTTCTTGCCTTCTTAAATACTTTGTTCACAGAAGAAAATGAATTATTTACACTCAGTCTCTGGAAAAGTAACAGTATCATTTGGAATGAGGAACAGCAGAGCTGCAACACCTGCTAAGATGATCATAGCTTTAAAAAAATTACATACCAGTTGGCAATGTCTTTGTGAGCTACTAAATTCTGTAGAAATGCTTGGAGTCCTAGCTGTCTATCTTCTAGGAAGTCAGGATTGTAATTATCCTTGAACCAACGCTTTGGGGGCAGTGCCAGTCGAAAACCAGGAAACATATCTTTCAGCTGAAAATGTACACCAGAAAGTTATGAGAGTACAGAATGATAATTTCTGTAGATAAGAGAGAATAATAATATTACACTATCAGAGTTGCAGAGAGTCAGTTTGGTGTAGTGTTAAGGCATCAGGCTAGAAACTGGAAGACTGTGAGTTCTAGTCTTCCCTTAGGCACGAAGACAGCTGGGTGACCGTGGGCCAGTCACACTCTCTCAGCCCTAGAAAGAAGAAGGTGATGGCAAACCACTTCCAAAAATCTTGCCAAGAAAACTGCAGGGACTTATCCAGGCAGTCATCAGGTGTCAAGATTGACTCAAGGCGTGCAATGTGTGCACACACACACATGTACACAAAGAGTTATAGCAGCTTAGCAGTGATGGCTAAAGCAGAGTTTGCATTTCAGATTTGTAATGACATCACACTAGCAATCATTTCCCAAAGTGCCACTTTCCATGTGAGACCACAACTTGTTATGCTCTATGTTATTATACCCAGTGATTCATCTTATGAATACTATATGTTTATTCAAGGAGCCTACATATCTTTAGATAATTAAAATAAAAATTAGTCATACCAAATCTAAGCTGCAAAAACTCTTGTTTCTGCCATCTACAGTGGTAGTTATCCACATTTGCAGCCTACCCATGGTACACCTATTAAAAAACACAGGAACTGTGCTATAAATCAGTCACTTTCTCTCACAACCTTCTCACATCCTTTCCATAATTATATGTGAACTGTTGAAACAGAAACGACATCTAATTTTCATTCATTCAGTTCAACAGTAAACATGTCAGGCAAATGATTTAGGAACTTGACACACGTTTACTGTCTTTGAAGGCTGCAAGCTTCAGTTTCATTTAACTCATTACACAGGACTGCCATAGCTCATCTCCACAAATACATTCAATATCAGTGCAATGTGCCTGGGAGTTTGCATCACTTAAACACAACCTAAACATGCTTATTCAGCAATCAAAATACAAGCACTATTGTCAATTGCCAACAGCCTTCAAAAATGTTACTTGTGGTTTCTGGAGTACCAACTGTTAGCGCTTTTCTGTAACTGTTTGGAAACATATGAAAAGAGCACTGGGCTCACTGCATGGCTACCTCTGGAAAAGCTGTAACTGCAAAATCCTACATTTTTAAACAGGTATTATGAATTTTTGCTTTAAGTTTGAACCTCAGCTTACTGTTAGGCACAAAAGTTGAAAGGGCCTATACGTAGCGTTGGACTCATATGCTCTCGTCTCTCTTCCAACCACATTATATAGAATACATTTTTACAAATTAGAACTTAGATCAATTAGTCTTTATGGCAAATAATAAAAGTATTTTCATGCAATATTTTACATTGCTTTTCATATGTGTTCACCTTTATTTTTAAATAATTTTCAAGGTAATTTATGAAACGCAAGAATAACATTAACCCAGAATACTACTTACTGATTTTGGCCTGTTTAAATGTATATATACCTTGTCATTAAGCCTGGAGAAGTCTGTATACCTTCTGAAAACTACCCAGTTTTCTTCCGGATTTTTCTTAACAAGTATTTTGTAAACCTGTTAAAAGGAAAACAAGACAAAACCCTACTAAAGTAGCTTCAAGAAACAGCATATGTAGGCGTAACAGAGTCTTCTCATATTTCACTGTAATTATTGAATAGTTGACATGACCATTCTTTGTTTATGAAACTGAACAACCATTAGACTTGGCAAAGTGTACAGAACTTTGAAAAATAACTATTTCATGCAAATCCAGGATTGACATGGCTTCTACTAGCCCAAGATAAATTAATGGTTTCAGTCAACAATTTTAAAAGATGATTTCATAAGCATATCAGATTGGTGCAAATGTGTTTCAGATTAAATATAGTTTAAATAAATTGTACCTGTATATAAACTATATTTAACCTGAAACACATCTAACTACAGTATAGTCCTTATGTCTTGGAATATATGGTTGGGATTATTTCTTTGCGTATTCAGATGAATGAAAATAATTTCCAGTGAATCTTTGTAGTATAAGTAAAAAAATGTAGCACTCATTTGTGATGACTCAAATGGAATGAATTAATTAAGCAATCTATTTAATAACTAAACTATCAATACCAAATCCTTATACTTTTCCATTTTTTAAACGGATCTGCTAGATAATTTCTCAACTATTATTCATTTATAAGATGTTGTTAGATTTTATCCATTCCTCAATTCTGAAAGGTAGTTGCGTCGAATGAGACAAGATTGGAGATTGCTTTCCATTTCATCAACTTTGCATCAGATCATTTTTTAAAATGTAGCCGTCATTGATTGGATTAGCAAGTAAGGATGGCAAGAAAGAAAGCAAAGTTTTGCCTATTCAGAAATGTATTAAGTGAGGCTGATTCCAAGGGAAATAAGGTTGCAAATTACCATCAAAACTATGGATCAGATATCTCCATTACAAAATCAGTTTAACCTTAAACTGTGAAAATTAATATTACTTTATGCAAATTTAGACAAGTTTAAAGCTACCCCATCCCCTTCATGGATCACTGCCTTGTCGTGGCGAAGGGGCTTGCATAACTCAGTGAAGCCATGAGCTATACCGTGCAGGGCCACCCAA